TATATATATATATATATATATATATATAAAATAGATACACAGGGTATGAGAAAATCTCAAAGGGATGACTTAAAACTTTCAAATATATAATATCTTCAACAAAGAATGTAATTTTTTTGTGTTTTAGAATTTAACCTTTATTTTATTTATTTTTATATGTTGCTGAGGCTCAAACCCTGTATCTTACCTGTGCTCGAAGAGCACTCTAGCACTGAGCTACAACCCCACCCCAAGAATGTAAATTTTTAGAGAGGTGACAAAACAAAGGAAAAGGAGTTTGAATCTATAGGAGAGGCAAATTGTAGGAAGTCAAATAAACAGGAGTGTTTTATAGATTAATCTAGTGTCATCTCCAGGCAGAAGAGGGTTTAAAATTATAAATACCTTTTTAAATTTATATCCTGCTTTTAGGCAAATGGGTGAGAGCTGAGAGTTTTTCTTTTATCTGCTGCTTTTCCATTGCCTTCAGGTCAAAATAATCCCTGAGCAAATGAATCATAATTTTGGGTGTCATATCCTGGTTTCTTACACATAGTACTATAGAAATAAAACTACAATAAATCTCCCCTTTCCTTTCACTTATTTTCATAGTACCTAGCCAAACATGTTTTATTATTGTAATGGAATAAATCCCAATCACTACATCATTTTATTCATAAATAGTTCAATAAATGTATCTACAACACTAACTTTTTTGACATGGCCAATGATACCATTACAACTAAAATATTGTAAGTATTTTTCTTAATGCCACCAAATATCCACACAGTGTTCAAATTTCTTGAATGTCTCATGGCTGTTTATGTTTTTTCTCCCATTCATTTTAAGTGTCTTTGTTTGAATCAAGATCTAAATCAAATTCATCTATTGTGATTGTTGGCATGATATGTCTTTTAAGACTTCCTCTCTCCAAATATTTTTCAACTAAATTCTAAGCTTCTAAAATAAAGGTATTGTTCATCTCGTTTTGTAGAGGAGGAAACTGGAACTCAGAGATTTAGTAAACCTGCCTGAGGCCTAATAGCTCATAAGGACAGTGTCAATTAAAATCAGGCATACCCACTTCTATTGATCTCTCACTGAATCATGTTGCTGCCCTCCCATTGTTCCCACTTTTGTTTTTTTTTAAACGTTTGTTTTTTAGTTATAGGTGGACACAATACCTTTATTTTATTTTTTTATGTGATGCTGAGGATTGAGCCCCAGTGCCTCACACATGCCAGGTAAAAGCTTTACCTCTGAGCCACAACTCCAGCCCTCCACTTTTATTTTTGCTTTCTTTGTTTAACCCTTTGTATTTCTTGCCTAAATATTGGTTCTAAAATATTTAAGGCCCTTTCGTGCTCATTGAAAGGTGATACTTTAAAATATAGACTCTTAGGAACTCAGACACCTTGCAAAAATAATGCATCCCTTCCAGTAATATGTTATAGAATGAAGGAAAAAATTTCTTGCTTTCTTATTTGACCACCCAAGGATACATGTGGATATAAAGATAATCTGGGACCTTCTTAATCAGGTCCTCCTGTCTGACTGATGTAAAATTTCCCCCACCGTATGATAGGGCTCTATTTAAACTTTACCTTTGTCTACCCATTTAGAGCCTATGTTGTTTATGAAAACCCACATGAAAGTTCTTATGGTATACAGATTTTCCTTGTAGCATAAAGATTCATCATGTTTTTAAGAGCTCTTAAAATTTAGTACTATTGTATGCTTGTGTTTTAGATTGGAGAATTAATATATATTGTGGAAGGAAAAGGATTGATCCCCTTGCCTTCCAATTTTCTTCCAATGAAGCTTTCAACTACCATTAACTATAGCAATCCTCTAGGAGAAGGTATAGTATGCATATTTCTGATTTTTTCATTTATAATATTGAAATGGGACTATTCATCCTTCAGTCATGTAAGCATCCTCTCATAGCAAGTTTCTTTGGTATGTAATTTGATTTTGAAAGGCTTCCTTTTAACTTTATTATGTTAGCATCCATGAAATAGAGCACCATTTACCAATTTAAAAGTATCAGTGATGATTTATCATGAGGAGGCCAGCACTTTGCCAGGGTAATGCTTCCTGCTCAGGGAGCGGATAAGCCACCTTAGAAAAATAAAGTCTGAAGTAATTAGTGAAGAAATAAGAGACAAGGTTAGATTTTGAAGTAGAGTGTCTGATAGATTCTTCCAGGCCTGGTAGGAGCTGGAACAGAACAGTTAAAAAATGGCTCAGATTGTTTATTTAAGGGAGAGCATCAAAGGAAGGGATAAGGTTTCAGCAGGTAGAGTCTTGCTTCATGGTGTCTTGTAATCAACAGGTTGACTGGCATCTTGATAAGCCACACCCATCTCTGAGAGGCTGTGTTGTTATGTGGCTGTAGCAGGTCACCCCATCTCCAGAGCTGTGCAGGACCTTTGGCAGAGCTGAGTGGGAGTTCACATGTATTCGGGCCATCTCATTAGCAGGAGTGCTGCTGTGAATTCCCAATACCAGAATTTCCCACTCAATGGCTTCCATGCCAATCTGGTCCACACACAGTTCACAGATGTATCTGGACCATGATTATTTTCAAAGGCTCTTTTTCAGTCTTCAGATAAATATTAGAATTTGACATACAAAGTATTACTCAACAAACTCTCCATTTCTAAATAATTTGGAAATCACTGTATTCTAAAAAATTCGTGTACTGTTATATAAGCTGGAATTCTACCTTACTCTGCAGCTCTTGATCATTAACCCTGAAAGAATTAAAGACTTAGATGTAAGGTTATTAATGAAAGAAAATGACTTTTCTTGCCAGTCCTCAAGTGTGTGTGTGCGTGTGTGTGCATGTGTGCGCTTGTCTGTGTGTATTTGTGTTTGTGTGTAACATTTATTTTTGCTCCCTCTACCTACTTAATACCAATAAGAGCATGAAGGTTACCAAATTTTTGAGTATATTAATGATTTTATGAAAGAATGATTTGACTAGAACTTTTTTGACGAATATAATAAATTATCTTTAATTCCCAAAGACTTTCTCTTGAAGCTCTAAATTATTCCTAATAGAAATGTGTTACCTATTATTTTTACTCTGTTTAATGAAGACCATAACTGTAGTTTCGTAGTTTAAATTTTTTTTTTAATATGAAAGTCCATTACAAATCCATCCTGGATAACAGTGTCAAAAGCACCAATGTTCATTGCATTAATTAATATTTTTTCTTTCCTTAGATTATAATAGGGAAGATCCAGTTCTATATTTGAAATGTGAACTCCGTCAAATCCTAGATGTAGACCTTAAATTGCCACTGACTAATGAAGCCAAGGAAAAGGCTTTGGCTTTTGCAGCACAACAACAGATGTCAACTATTGAGTATGAGCGAAGGTTGATCACAGGCACTCTGGAGAGCAGTAGCGTCCGTGTGGCCATTGCCCTCCTGGGACTGACCAAAATTGAGGTAGTTGCTAACTCTTAAAATATGTCAAGCTGTTGCATTTTTACACAGTAGCATTTTAAAGCTCATTAAGTAATATATTTTAATAAAACCATTGTAAGGTATCATTTTGTACATTGTAGTCTTTAATTCAAGTACTTGTCAATTCTGGCTGGATTTATTAGACTGCTTTGGAGAACTTTAAATAGCACCAGCATCTAGGCCCTACTCCAGAACAATTAAATACAAATTTCTGGAAGGGGATATGGAGACATGTTCTACAAGTTGCCAAGGATATTATGCTGCACATCCAAAGAGGATCATGTCTGATGTTAGATTACCAGGCTGAGAATTACACTGCCAGCTCTGTAATCATGGCCTGGTTACCTAAATCTCCTCAAACCTCCATTTGTATATTTTTAATACAGAGATGTTGGTAATTTATGAAAACTGAGGTGTATATGTGAAATACTTAGTATATTACCTGATATATAGTAAGTGTTCTCTTTATGAATACTGTTGTGATGATTATGATTATTATCACTACTGGTACTATTATTACAGACTCTATTCTTATAACTTGAAATATGGTACAATCTATTTTTATGATTGAAATAAGGTTTAATCTGTTCTCAAGGGCAAGCCAAAGTGATTCTTCTAAATACAAACCTCCTCATGTTGCTCTTCTCTGACATTATAGCTCCTGTCAGATAAAAGCTAACATCCTCAGGATGGTCTATATGATCCTCCTGGTCAGTCCTGCCTTCTCTGATCTCAACTCCTCCAGTGGAGCACATTGACCCAGGGTCACTTCTTCAGCACAGGCCGCCTTGCTCCAAACTCATAAGGCATGCTCCCTGTAGCTTTTGAATTTCCTCTGTTACTCTTCCCTATATATCAGAGAACAGCCTCCCTCTATTACTTCTGGTCTCTATTAAAATGAGTGAGATTCTGCTTTAACAAATTATATACACTTATATATTTTTCTTCCTTGTTGTTTAAGCTTTATGCCTGCATTTATATATATTTAAATAGAATACTTGACATTGTATTGATGATTTATTTGTCAGAATGCCAGAATCAATGCAGGCTAACTACAGATTTCAAACAAGTAACAATGATTTTTTAAAGATGACCTATATTTTAAGGTCTGATAGGCTCAGAAGTATTAAAGACTGAGGCTTTGACATTCTCTTGACTAACCTATCTATACTATGTTTTGAAGAATCTGATCATTTTCTTCAGCTGAAACCAAAATGTTTACTTCTATATAACAGTGAATTGAGGAAGACTTATTTAGTTATCAGTACATTATTAGAATAAATATTTTTTAAAGACTGACCACTTCCAACTTTCAGCCTATCATAGTGCTCTGTGTCTTTCTCCCTTTTTATCTATTTATTTATTTATTTTTTCATTATTAATTCTTCTGAAAGCTGTTTATTTAAATAAAAAATGGTTTAGGGAAGTGGATTTTGACCATGACATCCCTTTCCATTTTATATATATATATATTTTTTCTATCTTCTTCCTTTCTTTCTCCTTAAAACCCAGTAAATTTTTTATATTTATAATGGCATTTAATAAATTATTTTACATATTAGATTTGCTTTTATTTTTTCCTCTTTCTCCTGTCAGATTATGAACTCCTAGAAATATAAAGAACTTTTCACATGTATTTTTGGCTATCCTTTGACATGTCCTGCATGATATGTATCCAGTTGCTTTTTAACTTAATTAAAAGTATCACTTGTAACCTACTTCACTTACATTGTGAGAGCTGGGTTTATCTTCACTCTTGTATTTTAAGAAAGAAAATACTGTGTCTAAAGAAGTATATGCATGAGAGTAAATTGAAGTAATCCACATTATATGAGTAAAAGTTGAAGGAACTAAAAATATCAAACCTATATATGAAGAATATTTGCGTATCTATTGAGAAGGTGGAGCTAAATATTTTCATATAATCACAAAATGATCATTAGTGAAAGAGGAGGACTCAGTCTCTGCTGTTAACAATAACTATATCTAATGGGTAGATGTGAAACAGCATAGTTTCTAACTCAAGGAGGGAAGCACTTTTTCATTGCTATTCACTTTTAGAATGGTTTCCTCCCCAGGCAAATAATTCCTCAACACTAAAAGCATTAGAGCAGGGCTGGGGTTGTGGCTCAGCAGTAGAGCATTCACCTAGCATGTGCAAGACCCATTGGATCCTCAGCACCACATAAAAATAAATAAATAAATAAAAAGGTATTACAACTAAAAAATAAATTTTAAAAAAAAGCATTAGAGCAGGGGACCTTGACCATGTCTCAGTAAAAGGTAAGTACATTGGTTCTGTGAAATGTGTTAGTGCTGCCTTCCATCAATTACATAATAATATCTATAAAGAAATAAAAATTCTGTCCTTTGGTTTGTTTTTCCCAAATTTATTGTCTAAATACATAATACTATTTTTTTGTGTTTTGAAGGTAAAATTTAAGAGACTTAATTCCAACTTTCCCATTTATTTGCAGTCTCTTATGCTGTTTAATATGTCAAAGTTGAAGAAGCCTAAGTCTATTTTATATAGAACAGAACTGAGCCTTCCAGAACATTTTGATATCCCTAGGAAAATCTACATACCTCAGATTTCAGAAACTCAAGCTAAATTGACTCAGCCTACAGGATTTATACCTTCAGATACAACAGGTAATCAACAATATCTTGAGTGGATTATCTAGCATTGTTCCAGGAATGTTAATAGCAAGAACATATGAAAAGTGAATCATGTGTCATTTATGTGTAATTTATATTTGATCCAAACCATGGTCTTTATTACTTAAGTATTTACTATTTGTTTCCAGGTGCCCTTTTATTCTGTTGTGGTGATCAAGAATGTATAAGCCATATTTATTAACAATATTGATACACTGACATGATTCATTGCAAGTGATAAGATGTAAAAAATGATACTAAATATGTTTAACTATTTAAAATTTCCTTTAATTTTAGTTTCTTTCAAGTTGCTAGATAATAAGAATGTAATTTCTTACCAGGGCTAATACTAGAATAACTCTAGTATTATGGGTTCCAAGGTACATTTTTGCTAAAGTCGGTTGCATTACAGTTTTCTTTGGGGTGGGGGTTCAGTAGGAGCATGTGGGAGGCCATAAGTTCAATTCTTAGCATTCAAAAAGACATTTTATTTGTTACTCTGTGCATTTATGCTGACTGTAAAATATCTCTACGTCTGAAAGGGTGGTTATAAGTTGTAAATTATAAGATAATCTGTTCACTTTACCTTCCTAGAAGAACTGAGATCCCAAATGCAAACACCAAGTAGCCAAGCAGGTAATGATAATTTAAGGGTTATGTCTGGTCTTAGGCAATAGGAATGATGAATTCTATGTTGATTAGAGAATAGATGCCTTGTCTAAACATTCAAATTCAAAAAATAAAAATAAAATCCTGAGTCAGTCACACAGCTGTAAGGGCAAATTTGTCTTCCCAATAGTTTGAAACCACTCATCATATGTTACATTTTTATCTTTAATAACTCCAACTTTTCAATGTACTATTAGAATTTTAAATTAGTAACTTTTTTTCATAACTTTTAAATCCCCTTTGAGAGAACTAGATAAATCTGAGACTATTTTAAAATACAACTAAAATTGTCAATCTAAGCCATTTATTTATTTAGCCACTAATTGAATGATACATTGAACATTAATTCCCTTGGGAAAAATGATCAAAATTTTAAGTTCTTCCCTTTGAAGGATTCATTGATAAGAAACTGTTGTGAGTAAATAATAAAAAATTAGGACTACAATATGGATTGCAGGTATGCATGCAAAAGAGAAAAATCGTCAAGCAGCATGCTCAGGTATATAAGATGAGAGGAAATATATACCTCCTACCATGTGAAATGATAAAGATTATCATTTGTTTTTGCTTGGATCCATTTGGAATGATTTCCATCTTTGTAATTTAAGAGTGAAGAGGATTGAGGGCACCTGTTGGTACAAATACTACAGAGTCATTCTTTTAAATCAAGTTTTCATGTATTTCCTTGAATAAATGAAGGACCATTAACTATATTCCTTTAATATACAGAAACATCAAAGGTGTTCTTATTTATATTTTATTTTTTATAATATCTCCACTTTGCTGGGAAGTGTGGCCATGGGTATCTTCATGCTGTAATGTTGGAAGTGAAACTACTTCTTATTCTTTTTACCATATCTTTTATAACTGTGATGATTCTCTCAGAAACTATGGATAGAATTTTTGGTTATTTCTGTAGAATGATATAGAACACACTTGCAAATTCTTTTAGTCATAGTGATTTAATTGCTAAAGTTTTGAGGATGATTTTTTTTTAAAGAGAGAGTGAGAGAGGGGAGAGAGAGAGAGACAGAGAGAGAGAGAATTTTTAATATTTATTTTTTAGTTCTCGGCGGACACAACATCTTTGTTGGTATGTGGTGCTGAGGATCGAACCCAGGCCGCACGCATGCCAGGCGAGCACGCTACCGCATGAGCCAAATCCCCAGCCCTTGAGGATGATTTTAATAACCATAGAAGATACATTAATAATATCAATATTTATGCAATTTAGTTTTTTCCCCCCTATCATAGTTCACTAAAGCCAGCATGCCATAATTTGACTGGAAATTCTTAAGTTTTCTCGATCTTTTATAATTCAGTTTGTACCTATTTAAATTTACCTGGAATTATTTATGAAGTCATTGTTATGGTTTGGATGTGAGGTGTCCCCCAAAAGCTCATGTGTAAGGCAATGCAAGAAGATTCAGAGGATAAATGATTGGGTTGTGAGAGTCTTAACCCAATTAGTGAATTAATCCCTTGATGTGATTAACCAAGTGGCTGGAGATGTGGCTGGAGGAGGTGGGCATTGGGAGGCATGGCTTCAGGGTATATATTTTGTATCTGGTGAGTAGAGTGTCTCTGCTTTCTGATCATCATGTGAGCTGCTTCCTCCTGCCACACTCATTCTGCCATGATATTCAGCCTTACCTGGAGCCCTGGGGAATGGAGCTGGCTGTATATGGACTGAGACCTCTGAAATCATGAGCCCCCAAATAAACTTTTCCTCCTCTACAATTGTTCTGGTGGGATCTTTTAGTCACTGCAGCAAAAAAGCTGACTAAAACAATCATAAATGTAGAAATCCTAATATATGGAGGTTATGAGGCCATTATGGACCCTCAGAAATTACCTTGTGCTATGTTTGAGAGTATGTGTGGACATGCACATTTAATATTTTGGGAGGCAAGCTCAAATATTATGAAATTTTCAGTTTATAAAGCTTTTCTGTTCAAAACTAGAGAAAATCCTTTAGGACTCCAACTACTGATATCCTTTATCCCCTGTTTACCCTTAGCAGTGGTTCAAAAGCAGACTCTCATAAGGTCAGAGTTCCAATGAACATACTTTGAAAGCCTTTGATCTAGTTCAACCTCTATGTTTCAGAGAGATTAAATATCCAGAACATATATCTAAGATATTAGATGATGAGATATTTCATTCAACAAATATTTATTGAGAGTTTACTATGTACAGGTGATGTTCAGGAACCAGAGATAAAGCAGTGAACACAGTAGAGAAGGCTTTCACCTTTTGAGAACTTTGATAAAAAAAGGTATTTCCAGTGTTCATCTTTGAGTCATATACTTTGGCATTTTCAGTATCAGTTTCTACTCTTTTGTGGTTTAGTATCACTCCATCTATGTCACTAGCCAATTAATTTTATTGACAGTAACCATAGAGAGAGAAATTTGATTAGCCATATGAGAACTCACCCAATTTTGACTTTGGGAATATTATTTCAATAAAAAGACTTTGCTACTCTGGTTTTCAAGCCAAAATGGTATCTCATAAATTATTAGTGCTGTCTTGACATCTTAGATGTCTATATTTATCAATTGTCTCCATAATTTTCAGTCACTTATTTCTACCTACATAATTTCTGATTAACAATTTTTATATGATATTCTTTCATTCTTTGACTATTTTTTTCTTCTAAAACTTGAAGGTTTTAGTATAAGTCACTCTCTATGTTTTATTTTTAGGAAAATAAAATTGTTTTGCAATTTTATTTCATAAGCACATTTATATTTTCATACATAGATTCAAAAGGCATCTATTGATTTATTAGCTTATTAAATTATTTTCACTTGACAGTCTTATAGGCTATGGGACAAATTGTTTCAGTTAAAACAATTCTCATAACACCTTGTTTTTATTATTATTATTAGTAGTAGTAGTAGTATTTACAAAAAACCTCATATCTTTTTTCCCTTCCTTACTTTCAAATGAGTTTAGGAATTAACACTTAGATGTTTGCATTTTAGCTAGGACTGGCTAAACTAATAAACTTCCAAGCAACCTTGAATAATCAACAGATTTAAAATAGGCAGAACATAGAGTTAAAAATCCTTACATGTCAACTCTAAACTATAGTTTAAGAATTATCTTAAATGTATTTATAAGAAAAATTTTAATGAGGCACACAGATCAAACAAACTAATAAATGAGGTGTGTGGAACTGAAAGTGAACACACCAGAAAAAAGGCCATAAGATATTACCATGAGCTCAATTTTGTTAAAAAGTGCCAGAGAAACTCCTGCCAGCAATAGGGATACAGCTGCAAGAAATCTCTCCAAAACAATTCCTCAGAATTCTGGGGAAAGTTTACCTTGATGTGTTTGAACTAAATTCTGCCCAAGCTATCTTTAGGATCTATTTTTGTAAGAGGCTTATCTGGTGGGCCAGAACAAGAATTGGTGCTCAGGAAATGTTTTGGGTCAATAATATGCTGCTTATGGGGATTCCTTCCCAGAGAGTCACCAATGAACTGAACATCGCCTTTCATATGTCTCAAAAAAACCTTAAACATTAAGGGGTGTGGGGCAGCTCAGAGTATAATGAGATTGATCACTCCCTTCTGTGTACCTCTGGGTTTAGCTGCTAGAGTTCCCCAACCCAGTTCTTCTGAGGTGGTTCCCTCTAAAATCACATCACATCATGGGTGTGTTACCATGAAAGCTCTGTCAAGACTTTTTATTCACCTAGAGGTGCCCAGATTGAGCCAGAGGGAGCATTTGTCTGTTTTCTTTGGAGGCCAAAAGATCTTCATATAGAAAAATTTCAAATGGATAATGCCACAGCCACCAAATATCTTAGTCTATCAAGTCAATTATCACAAACACAAACTAATAAAACAGAGACTAACAAACACACTAATAAGCAAAAGGATACATAAAACAATGAACAATTACATTAAACCAGAGTGCATTTTCAGACCAGACCAGACCAGTCCAAGTAACTGAACTATTCCATGACTCCTCAAAAGATTATTTCACCCTGCTTGTAGAACTAATTTTCTGTGTTAGCCAGCTTTTTGTTACTAATAAAATACCTAAGAATATCAGCTTTGAGGAGAAAACATTTATTTTGTCTCACAGTTTCAGAGGTTTCAATCCATGTCTACTTGGCTCTGTTGTTTCTGGACCTGTGATGAGATAGTACATCCTGGTGAAAGGGCATGGCAGAACAAATCTTCTCACATAATGGTGGTAGCCAGGAGGGAGGGGGAGAGGGAATGTGGGGGGACTGAGAGAGGGAGGGATAGGGGGAGAAAGAAAGAAAGGAAGAGACTAAGAACTAGATACTAGATAATCCCTTC